TATTGTAACTTTATTATAATTATATATATATATTCTGCCGTCTAGCGCTATGCTACTAAAAGTTTAGGCGAACTATCTTCTGTACAGTATGTGAATTAGGTACCCTAAGTCTAATACAGTACTGTAATTTTGTACAATAGACCAATCCAAGTCCTGTATGGGAATGGGTGCTAGTTAGTGTGCTCCGTATTTCGATCGCCAAATCTCAGGATATTTTGCGTCGACAGATAAAAGGTATATACCGTTGGATAGCGCAAGTAATAAGGATTCCGTAAGTGTAAACATTTTGGTTTTCCGATCGGTAGTTCTAAAGTTACGAGCGTCCGTAATTTTCGATTTTTTCGGGCTCCTTAGGGCCCCATAATTACCATCATCGATTAACTTTAACGACGGTTTTAGTCAGATAATACTTCAATCTAAGACGTGTATAAATTTCGTTCGGTTAGCTCTTACGGTTATTGAGTTATTAACGATCAAAAATTTTACCGTTAACAAAGAGCCACTCCGCCACGTGGTTGTTAGCCGATCGGCGTGGTTATAACCGTTCGGCGTCGGTCTCGGGGGATAGCGGGTAACTGCTTTTCCGGTTCCGATTTTTGGTGAAAGCTTTATCTTAGCCTTTTCTATCTACCGGGTTAGCGCGAGCTGATTCGGAACGGCGGGTTAACGGCTAGGCGTTTAGCCGATCGGCGTTCTGTAGTTTTTTCGGAACTAATTGTTTCCGCGTTTACTTAACTGTTTCACGTGCTTATTGCTGTATTTGATAAGGGCCCATTGCTGCCCGAGGCCTAAATCCTTGTTGTGTTAAAGTTACTTACATTAAGCCGATCGGCGTGTTCGAGCCGAACGGCTATTGTGGTATATATATTGGTAAGGAACGTTTTGACTTCGCTNTCAAAGGCCCGTATAATTTAACTCGCGTATGTGTAATGTAAGTGTACCTTGTAAATGTCAAATTGCGTTTTCGTTATCTCAGGTGTTGTAAACGCGGCAAAATGGCCGTGAAACTGTTTTTCTGTACCTCAAACCTATTAATGTAGTAATTATATATCATATATGTTAGTTTTAAGTCTCCTGTTGTAACACGTGCGGCGAGCGCAACGCCGCCACGTATCCTTGGAACACGCCAATTGTATCTGTTTTTCCTACTTTAATCTTGTTACCCTGTAAATATAATTACGTTGACCATCTATGTACTGTGTACAATATCGATGTAAAGACTATATTGTAATCACGTCATAATTAACTGTAAATATTCGTAATTGTCTGTACTCGGTGTTATTAATAATTGCGATGCGGGTGCCCATGGTGTCTCCCATGTCTTATTTCACACTTTCCTATCTTACTTTCTCTTTACACTTCGACCACTTGCTCTTCCTTCTTTCCTCTTCCAACAGGGCAAAGTCCGTAAACAAGAAACGGATAGCTCTCTCTTCCTTCGATCTAATGTCTAATGTAATTTTGTACATTTCGTGTGAAAGAAACATTCCTTATTCAACAGCAAATAAAATTATTTATATTAATGATGTCTCTAAAGTTCAACGAAGTTTTCGCTGAAAATAACATCAGAAATCGTGACCGCGTTTGCTGAGCTGTTTGGCGACGAAAACAAGCTTGAGCCACGGCGATGTCGAATGGTGCACACTCGGTAAGTAATCCTACAATTTCTTGTTTATAGCGTAGATTATACGGATTATTTCCAAAAAATTATATACATATTTTGGAAGTGTTAAGTCGAATTAGTTTAGAATCGATTAATTTTATGAAAGAAAACCTTTCAAACTGCCATAGTCTGTAAAGCGCATACCTGTCGGGCTGTAATTGGGAAGAACTCGTAAGAAATCGATTCATAAAGGACGGAACGTATCTACCATCTTATAGGGGAGTCGACTGTAAATTGAAATGCGCATTCAGAAATTAAATCTGCATTTAATTTTAAGTGTAGACGACATTATTTACTAACCATGATCTTATTATATAAAACCTTAGATAGTGTAATTCAGTGTTTCAAACTGTGGGTCGCGACCCGCAGGGGGTCGCAAAGCGCGGGGGGTCGCGGGTGAAAGAAAAAGACAAGTGTTTGTAGGTCCTACACTACAATAAAAAAAACTACAATTTCAGTGAGAAGGCTGTGCCTATTTATTTTACAGTACAATTGGTTTTTTGATCGATATTTAATCACAACAGAAAGAAAATTAAATACGTAGTTTTTAAAATCACTGACATAGTTTAAATATGGCCGTGGGGGGTCACTAGAATTTTTTTAACTTGTAAAGGTGTCGCGTATTTAAGAAGGTTGAAAAACACTGGTGTAATTCGTTAAACATAAATTGCTTCAGAGTTGTCTCTAAAATTGTTCTTTTGTTTCACTTTATCAAAATTTCAGTTTTCTCAGTAAGTAAAGTTGATCCTGTAGTCAAGTCAACCACAGAGATGAATATCGAAATACATAGATACCGTTAGTGGTTTCCAGAGTGTTACATCGTTTAAATTTTCTAGCAAGACGAATTATAATACGATGAAATAACGACTATAATTGGTATCTTACACAACCTTCACCTGATTTTTACTTACATCCTTAATCCAACAAAAAAGAAGAGAAATATTATGATTTTGTACTTATATTTGGCCCGTTTTCTATGATGAACAGTTTTGTATCTGTACTTCATTTTTATTGTAAGAAGAACGAAATTCGAAAACTTATCAGGAAGCTTCACAGATGAACAGAGTTTTGCCTAGCAAAAAATTTAAATATTTTTGATTAAAGATTAAAGTTGTCATTGTTTGGATACGTTTCATTCTATACTGCAATGTACCAATATAATCAAGTGATAATTTTTATACATTTTTTGGATTGAAAGTAAATCAAATAGTCCCGATTATCACATCCATTTTTTACAACCTAATTATGTGTAAAATTCACATAATGTGCATTGTTCAGCTTTTTCTGACTTTCACAGTGATTTGTGAAGAATTAGAAAACATTCTAATGGGTTTGTTGAATTTTGTAAAAATGGTCATGTTTGTCTTTACGATTACATTCGATGCTGAAATCCTATACACATGTTTTGAAGTAACTTAGAATTTGTCGAATATTTTCTCTCCAATCTAATTTCTTTATATTGGAAGTCATTTTCTTTCCTCTTTTCACATTTTGTAAACCGTATCACTCTCGATGACATTAAATTTGTTAAACTTTATTGTAATATCGTTTATTCCAGTTTTATAATTTGTAGATTTACGTGTTGCAGCATTTTAAATGACAAGTATTGCAGATAAAGTAACAGAAGCATTTTGCATGATTTCTATGTCCAGCGATAGCCACTTCAATCAGTGTTCTGCATTATCTTGGTAAGTACAAGATTTGCTTAAATTTACATTTTGCAAAATGTTTACTGTAGACAAAAATTAATATTGACGATTGACAGTATGTTGATAACGTAAATAATTATTCTGTATCAAATGCATTAAAAAACAACATCATAAATAAATTTCGTTAACATGAATGGATCAATTATAAAAATATGAATCAGATAACGTCATTGATAAGATTTAACACGTTATAAGATTGAGCGAAAATATTTTGCCATTTTAAAAATGAAACGAAGTAAATATCTCTGAAAATATTATCGTTTGATGTAGCTACTTAAATATTTAAAAAATCATGTGATATATAACTACATTAATTAGCAAAGGCAGTTTAAAATTATTTTTGGAATAGCTTTTCTGATAATAAGTTATGATTTGTAAATAAAAGTTTCAATATTATTACATTGATAAATTATTGTTTAAATATTGATTGCGTGGTACGAAAAACTCTAATACTACACGAAGTAAAGAATAATACAAATTGAAACATAAAATTAACAAATTTTTTTAAGAGTAGAAATGATCTCTTCATGTTGATTACAAAAAACATAGAATGAAGAAAAACTGGGAAATACCAAAGCAAAAATTTATTAACAAAGAGTAGATACCAGCGAAAGAAAATACACAGTCCACCCCTATACAACGCGGTAGATACGTTTCACTTTTTATAGAATTTATGTTCTAGGAGTCCTTAAAAACATAAGCCAATCACAGCCCGGCACGTATGCAGTTTACGGAGTACGGCTGTTTTAAAGGTTTTCTTACATAAAATTAATCGATTCTATACTGATTTGACTCAACATCTTTAATAAATGTATAATTTTTGAAATAATCCATATATAATATGCTATAAACAAAATTCGTAGGATTACTTACTGAGTGTGCATCATTCGACGACGCCATTCCTTAAGCATGTTTTCGTCGTGGAACGGTGCATCGAATGTCAGGTGCGTGTTTTCTGATAAATTATTTTTCTGCGAAAAATTTGCTGAACTTTGGAGACATCATTAACATAAATGTAATATTTACGGACGATAAATAATGAATGGTTTTTAGTAGGTCCGCTGCTCGTTTAATCTCAACAGTTTGTGCAATATCCGCTATTGGTGTAGATTCGACCAATCCTGTCGCGACACGAGTCAACGATGACGTTTTACAGCATGCCACGAGTTTTTTTAGCGTCTTTATACGAATACGGTCGCAATTTTTTCGCCGAGATATAAGAATTCTGATTATATTAACCCGTTTTATAGGGGTGTACTGTAGTATAACTGACAGTGTATAAAGAGCTTTATAGTGATATTGTTAGATTTATTCTCTGTCTCATCGCCGCCAAAATTTGTGTAGGTAGAATTTACCTGCTTTACAGAACAAAAGCGTTGAAGTCAAAAGTGCAGTTTTTGTTTGAGCACATAGTCATAAGCGTTCCAAAGAATATCACTGTTTCTAGTTTCTTGGACAACGTTATCGCTGTCATGTAGTCTTGATGTGCGAATGTCATTCTTTTACCAAATCACTGAACCATACATTCTTATTTTATAGACTTTATTTTATTATTAACGATATATTTCACATACAAATAAACAATAAAATAAATTAAAATTACAGTAAAATTATTCGAATTAAATTTTAAAAAATACATTGTAAATCACTGTAAAGCAAAATTGTCTAGTAACTTATTTTTATATATTTTTACAATTGATCATTTAGTCGAGTTTTCTTTTCAAACTTAAATAGAATAAAAAAGCTATTCGTCTTAACCTTAATTTTTCTGTTCTTCACTCGGAGTTTGCGTTTGAGATTGTTCAAGAAAAACAGAGAAAGAAGGTAAAGACTGAGTAGAAGGGCCCGATTCCACTTCTTTATCATGATTGATTCGAGTAGAAAATCCTGCTTGCATGTCTTTTTTATTCGAAGTTTCAGTTGAAGACGAATAATGAAAACTGGAAACAGTTTCTGTTAAAGACTCTGCATGCATCAATACTTTTTCCGAAGTCTCACTTGAAAAAGATTCTTCTTGAATCACACCTTTTTCCGAAATATTAGTAAAGAGAGGTCCTGCTTGTGTCCAGTCCTCCGGAAGAATTTGAGCAGGTGGGAATTGCTTCCCTTTTTTATCAGACATTTTTGTTGAAGAAAATAAAAAAGAATCATGAAAACTGGGCAGAATTTCAGTAAACGGTTCTACTACCTGTGAGAATTCAGTTGAGGATGATATTTGCATCATATCTTTCTCCGAAATTTCAGTAGAGTAAAATCTTGCTTGAATTTTTTCTTTGTTCGAAGTTTGAGCTGAATCGTGGAGGCTATGCAGAGTTTGTGTTGATTCCTCTTGCCTTTGCTCTTCCTGCAAGTTTTGAATAAAAGGTCCTGCTTGCATCCCTGCTTTTATCAGGGTTTCTATTTTATAAGGACTTGTTTGCATTAATTGTTCCTGCAGCATTGCAATTAACGAGGACCCCGTTTTCATAAATAATTTCTGCAGTATTGTGGAAATATGAAATCCTGCTTGTTTCAAAATTTCCTGAAGAAGTGCACTTAACAAAGGTTTTACTGGCATCGATAGTTTATCTAAGGATTGTGTGGATGATGTTTCTGCTTCTATCTTTGGTTCGTCCAGGGTTTGTGTTAAAGGAGGTTTTGCTTGCATCCTCGGTTTCTTTGATTTCTGGAGGGTTTGTGTTGAGGACGGTCCTGCTTGCATCCGTGGTGCTTCCAAAATCTGTGATGAAAATGTTGCGTGCATCTGTGGTTTCTGGAGGGGTAGTGTTGAAAATGGTCCTGCTTGCGTCTGTGGTGCCTGCACAATTTGTGTTGAAAGTGTGTCTTGCATTTGTGGTTTCTGAAGAATTACTGTTGAGGATGGTCCTGCTTGCATCCGTGGTGCCTGCACAATTTGTGTTGAAGGTGTTGCTAGAATCTGTGGTATCTGGAGGGTTTGTGTTGAAGACGGTCCTGTTTGCACCCGTAGTTTTTTTAGAAATTGTGTTGATAAAGGTCCAGTATGCATTCTTCGTTTCTGGAGGGTTTGTGTTGAGGATGGTTTTGTTTGTGTCCTTAGTGCCTCCACAATTTGTGTTAAAGGACTTGCTTGCGTCGATGGCTCCTGGAGGGTTTGTGAAGAAGAAGGTCCTGGTTTCGTTTGCAGTTCCGGAAAGTTTTGTGGTAAAGAAGGCTCTTTACGCATTAATTGTTCCTGCAGGACTGAATGTGAGGAATGTTCTCTAAGATGCGAATTATACGTGTCGCTATCAGCAAATATTTTTTTACAATATCTGCATTGGTAATAAAATGTGTCAAATCTGTGTTTTTCTTCTCCGTGCTTTGGTAATTCTAGTTCACTATCAAACACTTGTTTACAATTGAAACATCCATGTGGTTGTTTTCTCGCATGCTTATTTTTGTCTTGTTCTATTTGCAGATTATATTGCTCTATCTGGTGCACTATCTGGTGAATCATTAAAGTTTCTCGTTGTTCAAATGTAGCGTTGCATATTTCACAAACATAAAGTCTTGCTTCATGTTGGGTTTTCTCGTGTAGTTGTAAATCTTGTAAACGGAAAAACTCCTGTCCACATCTTTGACACTCGTGTCTGTCTTCTGCATGACTTGCTTGATGATGAATAAATAAACATTTTTCAGAAAATTTCATTTCGCAAATTACACATTGAAATTCCATTTTTCGGTTTTCTGATGATAACAATAAACTGAATGTCATTGAGGAATATAAATTTTTTATCAATGGTTCCCAGACAGTAATACTTTGTATATGCCAAAAAAATTGAGTAGAGGAATTAAATAGAAAACACAAAATAAGTCGTCGTTAAAAAGTACGAAGTACATAAAAACGTGATCTATTTTACAAAAGTTTATTTTCATAATAAAAGATGAGTTTTTAAAATATAAAATTTGTGTGTCAAAGTAGTTGTAACTAAATTAACCGTTTTATGATTTTATGCATCCATTTGTATAGATGAAGTAAACAACATGTTGAATACCACAGCTATCCTTAAATAAATTCTTTAAAAGTTATTATTTTTTATTATAAAATACGACAGAGAAAGTGAGAAATAAGTCTATTGAAAACTTATAGATTATTATTTATGTACAAAACACTAATATAGCTTTAAATGTATTAATTTTATCTGAAAAATAAAAACTATACTTTTTATTTTACCTACTAATTTACTTCAGTAATGATGTTTATCACCTTCAGATTATTTATTTTTTTGAAATTGTTCTGAAGATGAACGAGCAAACACTATATAAAATAAACGCATACAAATACATGCTCAAAGATTAATATTAAGAAATTTTCAACGCTTTTCGTCATAAATGACAAATAATATAAAGGATCAAAGTCGTGAATGTTTTTCTTATATTTAAATTAGGTTAATGTCCAGGGTCGTAGACCATCATGGCGGCTCTTCCTATTTTAGCCTCGAAACCGGACCGCTTTGGAGACGACGTGTCACGTGACGACGCGAGCGAACGGCGGCGGCTGCTGCGCCGCGGTAGCGCCGGCGCTGATTCCAGCAAACAGTGGGGACGCACGTTCTAACCTAACCTAACCTATTCTAATAATATAATTGGTAATAATTATGATAATTTATCAGAATAGGTTAGGTTAGGTTAGAACGTGCGTCCCCACTGTTTCCTTTTCTTTTTGCGGAATCAGAGATGAGCCGCCATGAGTCTACGTATATAGACGTTAACCCGCGCATCGGTTTTCCCCGTTTATCGCGACGCAGCAGCCGCCGCCGTTCGCTCGCGTCATCACGTGACACGTCGTCTCCAAAGCGGTCCGGTTTCGAGGCTAAAACAGGAAGAGCCGCCATGATGGTCTACGACCCTGAACATTAACCTTAAATTATAAGCAGTCATTTTTACTGCACTCATTCAAGGTGAGAAGCTGCAGTAAATGTTAAAAATATGCTTATTTAGCTGCAAACAAGCACTGCTTTTAAATTATTACTTGATTAAAACATCCCTTAATATCTTTCGATTGTGAAAATACCATTAGAACGTAAGTAATAAACAAGAAAATACATTTTATACCGAATAAGTTTTCGAGAAAAAGAGATTCGATGAGAATAGAAAGAAATGTTTAGGAACCATTGATATAATTTTATACTTTAAAGAAAAAGTAATATTGTTATAGTTTTAAATGCACATTAAAGTATTTTTATACTTACAAACGGATTCTTTATTTACGAGGAACAAACTTTTCGTTTTACCTTTGCAAGTATTTTGTTTAAGTGTTGTTTTATTACCATAAGTGTACAGTAATTTAATTTTTTTTCATGGTAAAGAAATAAAACTTTAAATTTATTGTTTATTAATAACGAACTAGTATAATTAAAAATGAATTAATAACTGTTTGCAATTTTTCGGAAAATATTGAATTATTACTAATTTAAATAGATCGTTCGTTTACTAAATCAAATTTAGCAGCAAATTTAAGCAATTTTTTATTGTTGAAGTTATTTAAATAATATTGGCTTATATTTCAAATTTACTGTTCTAGAAATTTGACGACGTTAATGAACGTATTCATGTTAATTAGTAACTTTTTGTGGTAAATGGACGTTAATTCTAGTAGTACTAGTGGCATTGTTTTTTTTTATTATAAACGGGCTGTTTTATTGGTAGAAGACACTAAGATATTCTGCTTCTCTTTCAGCTCATTATTTACACACTTTTCTCAGTGGCCACACCTAGCGATTTTCAGCCGCGCAGGCGACGGCAACTGCAACAAGTGCAAGTTAAGTCATTGACATATTGTTCGTCTGCGTTGACACTCGAAAACACCTAACCTTATAGTAAACCAATAAAATTTTAGTAGCTTGTTTTTACTTCAGTTTTTGTGTGTTTACCAGTGGTTTTAATTATACTTCAGAGTAATAACCGAATTTTAACCACTTTTCTTATTAAAATGCACCCAGTTTCCTTACTACAATGAATAAAAGAAAAAAGGCGATCATTTGTTATAGCTGGCAATAATACAGAAAGAGACAAAATCTTCAATAAAACGAAGAATTAAAATCCAATAGACATTTGTGAGCCCGAATAAACTCGATCAATCTCGATTCTGTAAAAGTATCAATTCTCTTACTTTCTGCCATGATGAACTATTTCAATGTTGCCACACTATGACGTGACGCAAAGGCGTTTGCTAATTGGATGCGTGTTTGCAATCTGCGCGAGTAGAACAAGCCTTTAGTCGCGATTGCAGTCGTACCGGTTTTCAAAAGTAGGTTAATAGTTAACAAGAACAGCCATCCTGGTTGCAGTTTTGTACGCAGCTGAAAATCGCTAGGTTTTACCACTGCTTTGTTAATCGCTTTCCAGAACACTTTTTTTTATGACACTCTTTCTTCTGAGAAATCGGGATCTCTTCCGGGAGTCACCATATCTTGAAACAGACTCAAAACATCGTCTTATTAGTTTCCTTTTTCTTTTTTTTTCCTAGAAAGAACATTTTCAGACATAATCTAACGAACTTCTTTCTGCGTGTCTAAACCTTCTCAATTTTCTTTAGAATTTTGTTAGAGATTTTTTAAACTTTCTAAATCCTACTTATTTAATGTAAGTAGCAGAGAGTAAAATCTCGGTATAACGTCAACATGATAAAATTATGTCAAACGCGTGTTCAGTTTTTTAACAATTTATATAACTTTTTCGGTTATGTTGTCTGGTAAAGTCAATTTAATGCATCTTGATAATGAAACCAATAACAATTCGTTTGAAGCGAAACGGATAATGGGTAATGATATACAGTGGAACGTCGGAAAATACGACCTTAATTTGTTCCTGGTGTTTGGACTTATACTGAATAGGACGTATACCAAACCAACCTTTCCCATAAGAAGTAATGTAAAAATGATTAATCTGTTTTCATGTAAAAAAAAAATGGCTGGCTTTAAACACCTCGCTTTCCTGGCTAGTTTCTGCTTGATTTTTCATGAGATCAGCATGTATCTTTTTATCTTTCTCGCAAATAATTGCTTCCGATACGCTGTCGCCAGCACACTGTTTTTCAGTTATCCAAAGCAAAAGCAATTTTTCAACATGATCTAATGTCTTCGATCTGTGTTTAAAGATTAATTTAATCCCTTTCGCATCGTTAGCAAATTTAATAATGTCTTTATTTTTCACGACTGTCGATATTGTCGTTCTCGGAATACGGTAGGCAACAGTTAAATCTCGAACACGCATGCCACCTTCATATTACTCAACAATCTTTTTTCAGTTGCATTGTGATTTTAGTCATTTTTTTCATTTCTCTGTTGCCTTTTTGAAATTCATGATTAATAAAAATAATAACATTTTACTTACAAATTAAAATAAAAAGAAATTTGACAATGTTATAAACTGTGGCACCGCGAACGTCTAGCCTGGTCTAATACACCGATAGTGCTACTTGTTTGTAGATAGCGCGTATAATTGAATTAAGTCGTATACCGAACAAAAGTCTTATACCGAGCAAAATTTGTTTCGTCCAAACAGGACGTATTCCGAATTGGACGTATTTTTAAGCAGACGTATACCGAGGTACCACTGTATTTGTTCTTATTCTAATTTTTTAAGTAGGTCATTAATTTTATATAAAAACGCTACATTAATTTATATTCTTAAGAAAAAATATACCAAAAAATTTGAAATTTGCTAACGAAGTAATATTAGCATGTCGCCTGATTACTCGCGCAAGTAAACTTACGATTTACGACCGGATGGCCGAGCAGTCAAGGTAGAAGCCTACCGCTGTGGGAACTTGGGGTTGAATCAGGGTGTATCGAAATTAACCAAGAATTATTCCAGGTAGTCTGTCTGAATATACCAGGCCCCAATTTTCACTACCGGCCGTATCATTGTGAGCTTGACAGAGCCAATAATGGACTTGCTATAAGATGCTCTCTTTTAGTACCCTCAGGAAAAAGATAGTTTTAAAGAAAGTACAGTAACAAAGTGCAAGAAGCTGTATTTTGTGTATTTTCTGTAAACGCATGTACCTGCATTTCTGTGTGCTAATTTTAAAGTGTTTAGTTTCGTATCTTAGCTCCATTTTCTTGCTTTTCAGACTGTAAGATATTGTTTTGGTTATTAAAGTATATTCTTGTTTGAGATGAAATTTCAGGTGATTAGGCAAATGTTTGAATAAACAATAATGGTATCTACTTGTATTTCAGTCACATCTTTTCATTTATACATTAATTATTGAAACATTAAGTAAAGAAAAAAAAAACATTTTCATATTGGAAATTCATTTTTTTGTTTTACGTAATGACAATTAATTGTATCGCAAAGTGCCGATGCAAATATGTACTGTTTTAACTAAATACTAGAAAAGAAAAAAAATCTATTAGAACTGACAGTATACAATTATTAAGTAACGGTTTTGTTATATTTCCGTTATTGAGAAAAATTTTTTCTATTTCCCACGCTGTGTATATTTTATAAGTTTCGGTTTAGACATACAAAGTAGTTTAATTATTCTCGTTCTATACGATTTTATTTGTATATAAATATTTATTTTTAATACAATAAGAGAATGTTATAATGTAATTATTAAAAACAATGCTTTCATGCACTGCCGTCCTACAAGTTTATCCTGCCCTGTCTGGATTTTCGTTAGTATTAGTTAATAGAAAACCTAGGCGCCCGTAAAATGGTGCTTATTGTGAAACTTCTACTGTACACTTTCGTACCCTAGATAGTTTGGGCCAAACCTGGCCAAGGGCAAGTACATTGTCTGCTTCATTGTCTATTCATGAATACACCTTTGCATACAGTTTGTTTTATATAAACTAGTTAGTCTTTAGTTTAGTTATTCGAGTACATGAAATTATTTACTAAACAATGCGTCTGTATTAACTCGAATACTTCTCTTAACTTGAATAAACTTTTAAAGCAGTTAATATGTAATATAAGAAAATTTTATTTAAAATCAATATTTGCCAAAAAAAAATGAAACCATTATTAAATTTCCAAAAAATTTCGAACGAAATTAGAACTATTGTGTATTAAGTAATATTCAAAATTATATTATTATATCTTAAACATAACTAAAACACCTTTTTAGCAATTGAACCGAAGGTCAACGAATGCTGCGAACAATCAAATTTTTGTATTGCTCATTGTAAATTAAAAATGGTTGTGTATGTATAAATAATACTTCAATATTTAAAATTTAAACTAAAAACATTACAATGAAATTGAGACGGAGCAAGAAAGAAAGAGGTAATCCGTGCACTTTCTGTAAAATCAGCAATGTTGGCTAATTATTTCTTGTAACTGTAATGATAGAAGTGACCCGAAATCGATCAGGACCGTCGATAGAGATAATTTTTTAAAGTACTGCAGCAATTTATATTATTCGAATTATATCTTTGGTACAAATTTAAGCAAAGTGTCTGTTTTTGACGAGCATGATCGTCTGCAGAAAATTATTTACGGGGAAAATAAAGCTAGAGATAAATTACAGAAGTTTATTAATTAGTTATTTCATATTTCTTGGCTTTTTAAAAAGAGACAAGAAATTTTACAAACACAAAGCGTTCCACGTCCGGAATGTAAAAATGCATTTTAATTATTATTACGATGATTATTTGTGAAATTTTTTAAATTTTTAATTAAGATCAAGTGCCCCATTTGCCCTTCTGCAAATGCCCATGTCCACTATTACCTGGATTTCGTTACTGCTCCAAGGCAAGCTATATCACTTTGGTCAGTTCTATTGGTTATAATACATTTCCGCACTCGCGCTATGTTTATGCCGTCATGTAGACCTAATATGAGGATATCTCTAGTTGAAATTAATAAAGTTATTTTTCATTTCATTTAAATTCGTTTTATTGTAGAATTATATAAAATACAAATACACAATAAAATCGGTTAAAATTATATAAAATATTTTTGAATATCAATAAAATGTTTAAATCGTTCTTTTTATCAGTGCGTTCGCATTACAGAGTTTCACAATTATTCTGACATATTTACAAAATTGTCGTTTGCGAAATTGTATGCGGATATTTGATGTATTCTTGTATTTCTGTTCAGTTTAACTTTGCTTCGTTTCTCCAAAGTTGAACTCGAAGAAGTAAGATGGTAAGTATGTAAATTAGCGGGTTTTATAATAAGAAAGTTCATGTTTGCATCCTCTCTCCTTCCTAAACATGAGCTGAAGATGTTCCTGCTTCTGTCGTCACTTCTTCCTG